ATGTGTGTCTTGTCCCGCGGAGACAGACGCACACACCTGCCATTAATAAAACCACAAATTTTTGTCCATCTGTTGGTCCGTTCGTCGAAACGATTTTTGCATCTCATTAATTTCGCAAACAAATGCCAAGCGAGTCCAGTGTAATCATACGAGCCGTAGCAAAGCCAGCAAGGGCAACTCAAGTCAAGACGAAGAGCTGAAGCTGGGTCTGGGTGTGGAAGTCGTGTATTCTTACCACCTGGACCCGGTGGACACTCGGCGTGTTGATTAGTCTTACCTCAACGGACGCCGAGGATCGAACTCGGGAACTCGGCGTGTTAAGCAGACGTCATAGCCACTAGACCACGACGCTAAAGCAAGGTGTCATGCGAAGACCGCTTGAGTCTGAACGAAAACTGGTGCAGGATCAGCCATCACATTGACATCAACGATCTTGGGACCAACATTGAACACATCGAGGTAATGTATAACTTCCTTGGTGAATAAAGATAGCTTTCCAGCTTCGTTTCTAACTTCATCATCCTTGAAACATACAGCAGCCTTCAGGGTCCTCATCCAAGGGTTACCTAGGATGTTTAAACGAGCTTCTATATACAACGTATATGATTGCTATCAAAATACGAGCTTCTTTTTTATTGATAGAATATTTGACATGCAGAATAGTGCATAGATGATCTGGGGATCTGTTGATTTCACCATGTTTAATTTACCCCGGAAACAATCCGCGTATGACCCCCCACCAATACTCGCTGTTACCTCTCTACGGTGGACTTCCCTATGTGACAGAAGCCGTACCGTCTACTCTATTCCTCCCTAGACCAGCTGTCATGCCCGAGTCGGTAAGAGGTTCCTTTCGGATTCCGGGAATCCCCGGTTCGAATCCCAGTGGGGGGGAATAGATTCGAACTGCCGGAGAAAGGAAAAACTGAGACTTCCTGGGCATGACAGCTAGACCCGATGGGCCGCCCAAATCCGAAACCAAGAACTGAAAGACCTGTCCAGCAAACGAAAACAAAGGAGAAAGCGTTTGTGGGTCACTACCGCAGAACGACGATAACGAGAAGTGATGCTATTAGTAATACGGCATTACTCAACATTAATCGCTGTTTCGGAGTTTGAAAAATTCTAGGTTTCAATAAAAGAGAAGGTCAAAGGTAGGCGGAGACGGCGTCTCCAGCCGTTGTGTCGGCGAAATTCCAATCTTCAAAATTTCTCGAAGTCATCACTTGGGTTTGGGGTATTGGTACATAATAATAAACCCTCCTCTTCTTTTTCCTTTCACTTCTTCGACCTGTCCAATCTTTCTACCCTTCTCACCACTCCTTCTTTGAACCTCTTGTGCCTGTACTCGCTTCCACTACTCTGCTTCTCTTCTGTCGAAGTCTTGACTCCGAGTCTTGCTACTGCCTACACAGCCGCCTGCATGCAATTCGACCAACTGCTGTTGACTGTCCATTTCATTGCTACACAATCTCTTCCCATGTATACCCCTTCATACGCGACTACATTCTTCTTCTTGGTTTGCTGTTTCTTGGTCTACCTGTTATGGCACTTTAGGGAACTGGCACCAAGACCGGATCTGGGGGGGAACCCGACAGCTACCGAT